CCATGGCTCCCTCACCTGTTGCTCCCTCACCTGTTTCTCCAGCATAACTTTTTACTTCTCTGAGCTCTTAAATCTCTGGCAATATAGAGACCACCTTCAGTTCCTTGAATAAGCCACGCTGTCTCCCATCCAGGCCTTTCCTATGGTGTTCCCTCGGACTGGCTAACACCAACACATTCTTCTAGTCTTAGGGAAGAACTCCCTCCAGAATAATCCTGCCCAATATCACTGCGGTATTGTTACATAACGAGAAATATACATTTAATTTTCCAACCCTGCTTTCTGGCACAAGCTCCTTAGAATTTCCTAAGCAACAGTGATGAGAGGAACATCCTTGGTTCTTCCTAACGAGGCCCTTTCAACCACACCTGAGCTGGTGCTAATGTATGGTGACCTTGAAATGTGCCTTCTCGAATAGTATCGCGTCATCATTGATATATAGTAAGTGTATCTGTAATAAGGCCTAGGGTTAGAAGTATAAAGGAGTTGAAGTGAAATCATATCATAAGACCTGATGTTATAAGAAGGGCTGAGAGGGCTCCAGTTAGTGGTCAGGGGCTAGGATTTATTATATGATAGGCATGTGTTTGGTGGGTCATTATGTATTGCCATGTAAATAAAGGCTTACTAAGAGTGTAAATACATAGGCTTGGATAAGGGCTACGGCTAGTTCGAGGATTTAAGTAATATAAGAATAATGTTGTTGATACTGTGATGGAGCTAACTGATGATAGGACAGAGGGGGCCCCCCAATTAAATGTATAAGGGCAGTACTCTTGGGGGCGCCTAGATAGCTTCAGGAGGGGGCTGGCTGCCTGAAGAACCAACCACGTAATCAGAGGTGGAATACTTAGTTTCACTTCCTCATCCACCCACCTCTGGGGAGGAAGTTAGAGATTGAGCTAAGCACCAATGGCCAATAATTAATCAGTCACACCTACATAATGAATCCTCCATGGAGACTCCTAACGAATGAAGGGTTTGGAACGCCTCCAGGTTGGTGACCATCAAGGGGCAGAAGGTGGCCCGCCCGGAGAGTGCATGGATGTTCTGTGGCCCGCTTCCCCAATCTGCCCTGTGCACCTCTTCCTGTTGTCCTTAGCTGCATCCTTTATAAATCAGCCAGTAAGTGTAAGCAAGGTGCTTTCCTAAGTTCTGGAGCTGAGCTAGCAATTTTTCGTGGGAGCCCCTTGACTTTACGGCTGGTCAGTCAGAAGCACAGAAGGCCCGAACTAGAGACTGACATCTGAGATGGAGCAGTCTCGTGGGACTCAATTGTCAGCTAGTGGGATCTGATGCTGACTCCAGGTAGTTTGCGTCAGGAATGAATTACACTGTAGGACACCTAGCTCACTGATGTCTGTAAAGTTGGAGGACTGGCTGTTGGTGTACAGAAAAACCCCACACATGTGGTGTCAGAAGTGTTCTGTGGGCAAAAAACAGATCATAGGAATCTCTGAGCCAAAGACCACAGACGTGCCACTCACATGTCCCCAGCACTTTATGTTCACCCTGATCCTAGGACCCGTCACACTGAACTGCAATTGGCACTTCACCCATCTGCCTCACCCGCTCTTAAGTTTTTCGTCCATCCCTGCTGTGTCCTCACTGCCCAGCACAGGGCTGTGCACATGGCTTCACAACAAGCCGCGCTGAGAGTGAGGCATCACCCAAATTATCTTGCTAAGCAGCCACCAGATTGGGAAGAATATCAAAGTCCCACCAAAGCACCAGAACAGCCAGCCTCTGAGTGCCAAGTCACAGGAGGACCGACAGATGGAGGCGCACCACAGCAACGTGCCTGCTGTCCCAGGGAGGACAGGCCTGGCTGACCTCCTGCAGCCAGAGCTTCAAGAGATGACCTGTTTCCTCATGTCACGGTCTGCCCAGCCGCAAGCCACCCTGCCAGACAGTGCTGCACAGCAGCCCGACATACGAGTCAGGGGTCAGAGGCCAGCACACAGCTGTCTTTTTCTTTTAACCAGTCCAGTGAGACTAAAAAATCAGACCCTCTTCTATACAATCTGGAAAATTATCCTTTCCTTAAGCGATGTCAGAAATAGCTGTTGCAGCCTCTACGAGTCCTGGACTGGCACCTACATTTTAAACATTCTCACTATTGTGGATTGAATTGTGTCCCCTTAGCCCTACAAGTCCCAACCCCCAGTACTTGTGAATATGACCTTACTTAGAAATAGGATCTCTGCAGATATAATCAAGTTAAAACGAGGTCACGTTACACTAGAATGAGCCCTAATCCAGTGATTGGTGTCTTTGCAGAAAGAGGAGGGAAATCTAGACATAGACATATAGGCAATCAGGCCATGTGAAGACAGAGGCAGAGACTGGAATGATCTACAAGCCAAGGACTGCCAGCAACTACCAAAAGCTATGAGGCAAGAAAGAATCCTTCCCCTCTCTAAGCTCGGGCCTCCTTGGCGGCACAATGGCCAAATGCACCAAGAAGGTCGGAATCATTGGTAAATACAGGACCGGCTATGGGGCCTTGCTCCAGAAGATGGTGAAGAAGATCGAGATCAGCTAGCACGCCAAGTACACTTGCTCCTTCTGTGGCAAAACCAAGATGAAGAGACGCGCTGTGGGCATCTGGCACTGTGGCTCTTTCATGAAAACAGTAGCTGGTGGAGCCTGGACCTGCAATACCACTTGTGTTGTCACAGGAAAGTCTGCCATCAGAAGACTGAAGGAACTGAAAGACCAAAGATCTGAGTATCACATGTTCTCACTCATATTGTGGACCTTGAACAGCCAATGTAATACTATAAGAAAATGACTGACAGTGGTGGGAAACTATGGGAGGGGAGGAGAAAGAAGATGGGATTAATGGTAGTAAATATCTGTCTGGGGACAGGGAGACACCTCTTATCAACAAGGGTGCCTGAACGAAGCATATTTGTATACCTAACCCTTAACTGTACCCCACAATATCATAATAAAAAATACTGATTGATAAAAAAAGTATTTAAGAGTAAAAAGTGTATGTGATTACATATATGTATATGTATTTAAGAGTAAAAAGTGTGTGTGATTACATATATGTATATATATTAGATATATAAAATAGATATACAAAAAAGAAGAATGATCAAGCAAATATGGTAAGATAGCAATTGAGAATCTAGATAAAGGGTATGTAGGGTTCTTTGTACTATTCTTGAAACTTTTCTGTAAGTTTTAAATTATTTCAAAATAAAAAGACAACTATTAAATCAAAAAAAAAAAAAAGAAAGAATCCTTCCCGAGAGCCTTTGGAAAGAGCATGGCCCTGCTGACACCTTGATTTTGCCTATCTTGCCTCCGAAACTGTGAGAGAATAAACTTCTGTTGTTTTAAGCCACCCAGTTTATGACAGTCTGTTATGGAATTCCCAGGAAACTAAGGCACTCAAAAAAGTGACGTTAATTGGCTCCTTCCCTACCCAGTCAGCCTGCGTCCTCACAACGAATAAAAGTTCTATCACATATTCTTTTTTTTTTTTTTGAGTTGGAGTCTCACTGTTGTCCAGACTGGAGTGCAGTGGCTGCTCCCGGCCACCACAGCCTCGACCTGCTGGTCTCTGGCGATCCTTCTGCCTCAGCCTTCCAAGTAGCTAGAACCACAGGCGCTATCACATATTCTTTAAGAGCACTCTTCTAGAGCCTTTAGTTTTGTGTTGTATTTTTTTGAAGCCGTCACAAAAACAGCAGCTTTCTACAAACGATGCCCTGCTTTCTCTCAACATGTGAATATTTAATGCTTCTATCCCAGTCGGGTGCATATTAACACATTTGAGATCGGCAATTTTTTCACTTTCCTAATACTGATTGCGGGTAAAAACAAAAAAATCTGAAGCTGGTTGCTGCAAACTTCTGTTGGTAAGGACAAGTGAAATGGTCTTTTCTAAATTGTCATCTTTTTCACAATACAGTTGAAAGTTGCAGACATATCCAGTATTTGCCTCAGACACCACTCTGACTAGCATTCTGTACTGTGTATCTTTTATTTAGACTATAAATCGAATATATATTATTCAGAAACAACTTACAAAGACATAAATTCAAGTCAGCAGCAACCAGGAATTTGAAATGACTTAATTTCAGATCAGCGATCGTGAATGAGTTAATATAGAGAAGGACACCATTCCTAACCATGGAGAAGGCAAAGCCAAAGAAAGCTAAAACTTGTTTCCAGGTCTTACAGTCGACATTTCACATACTCAGCAAAGAGTTTATCTGTACAAGGACAATGAGGACCAGACACCAGCCAGCCATGAACGTGCACGCGTGTGTGTTTGCAAGCACAATGGACACCCTGCAAACCACTGGCTACAGCAGATAATAGGGGTAATTTCCAACTCCACATCTAATCTGGTAGAATATGAGATGCCTCCTCCCAACCCTCACCAAGTTCTCCAATGTAAACACATTTTTGGTTCTTCATTCCCATGTAGCTAAGTATCACAATACTTACTGGCAGTGAACAAACACTGACACCCAGAGGCCTAGATTGGTCAATCTCCAGTTTTACTGTCATTTGGCTTGATCTTTTGAAAGTATCACTTTCAAATCCCATTCTTTGGTACCAAAAGCTAAAGAGACCAACATCATTTAGCCTCAAGACAGCTCTGGGATAACCAAAGCTGAAGCTCTTTCCAGGTTACGAACAGCACTATTAACTGACTGCTATGAAAATAAGCAGGAGATATAATAAATACAAGATTTAAGGCACTTCTCTATAAATCACTCTCATAATTTTTACCACTTAATAGCATGCCAGAAGTCTCTAGTTCGTACCAGAAGTCATAATAAATATTAAAAGAGGAAAACTCATTTTTTAGAGACAACCCCTCTTCTGCGCTATTTTCAGTGATGACCTGTCAGGAGATAAGAAGTAGCTTGAGAACAGCAGAAAGTACACCAGCTTCAGGGGCCCAGATCTGCCATTTGAAAGTGGAGTGACGCACATGTTTAAACAGAGCTGTGGAAGTGTAGGTGACCCACCTCTGCGCAGACGGGGTGGATTCCAATTGTGCTGTCCAGCTGTTTTTTGGTCAATCCACATTTGAGTGCAGCTGCGAAGCCTTGTGTAACTTCTCCAGCATTTGGACCCAGTACGTGAAAGCCCACGACACGTTCCTAAGACATAAAGTCACAATTAAGCTGATTTTTCTCCCTCTTCTTCCTACACAGCCTAGAGTATTTCCCCAATCTATTCTAAAAGTCCATTTCAGAAATGGTAAAAGACTTAACACTTGCTGCTAACAGCTCTTCAGGCTAGAAACACCTGGCATAGGATGATACAGGGGGCACAATGATCACTTCAAGCAGGAAGGAAGAGACAAGAGTCAGCTACGAGCGGTGATGAAGACAAATGCAAAAGGAACCAAAATGGTCTGGGAAACACCATCAGAGGGCAGTGGTATCTGGACGTCCTGTATTTGGTTGTCTCAGCTCCACACAGACTATCTGTGGTGACTGTGACGCTTACAAGCAGTCATCCAAATTAAGAAATCATTTTAACAAGGTTTGGTGGGTAGACAGTGTAATTAGATGTTGTTAAGACCATTCCAATCTGAAAATGTTTTTTAAAGCAAAAGAAAAATGTCTGAAATGCCTGTGTGGGAATTATTTTGGATAAATTCTAAATCTCAAACTCAGGCTACTTAGGCTGAGAACAGAGAAATGTGACGCAGTCTACCGTTCAGTTGCTAAATCTTCAGAGCCGATTCTAACTAGACTCTCTAGTCTGGACTCCCCATAACAGATGAGGCAACTAAGGCTGTGGGTGCAGAGCTTATCTCAGCTTCCACTGCTCCCTGGAATCAACGAGGAGGTGGTTCTGCCACGTGTTCTCCTTCACATGATTCACCCTGACAGCCAGGGGTGAAGTACCATCAGGATGATGACTACTATAAAGCGCTCAAAATCTGCTAGATTTATATGCAATTATGTCAAAAGGTCTCAAAAAATAGTGAAATTTTTTAAAAAAGCAAGTTGCAGGGCTCTATTTAATGAGGACACCACTCTTAATTAAAGCATAAAACGCTGTATAATGTTGCATACGTAAGTTGGTGATAAACATAAAAACATAAACATGAGAGACGCTGCAACTTCAGAACAGGTCTGCCTCTCGAGGATTGAAGTCCAAAAAGACTATACCAGCACAGGATAACAGTTAACAGCATGGTCTACACTGCGTGAGATTCAATCACAGCCCTGGCCTTGACGAGGTATACATGATGTGAGCACTGTTACTTAACTTCCATGTACTTCAGCTTCCTCATCTATAAAAGGGGAGAAACAATAGCACACACCTCACAGAACTGTGTAAGGATTAAATAAGTCAGTGCCTGTAGACCTCTATAGTGCCTGGTACATAGGAAATGCTCAAAAAATGTAAGTGATCATAAACTGCATCTGTGATGGTTTATCTCTTACAAAACAAAAGCTCTGAAGTAAATGTAACAAAAATGTTAATATTTGCTGACTCTGGGTGGTGGGCACTTTCCCCATTTATATTTTAAATGTTTTATGTAAAAAACAAAACAAAACAAAACAGCATAGAACAAAAGCTAGCAGATAATAAACGTTGTAAGCAAAGACATTTTGACTGACTCAAAATGAGTAAAGCATGTCCCAAGGACAGTGAGGTTCTAGAAGTATGCTCAGGACAAAAGAGTAATGATAAGCATTCATCTTCTCTATTACTATCTTTACCTATGAAAATAATTGCAAACAATATCACTCTACTTATGACTTTATCTTAATTAAGACAGATTTATTGGTAATGAAATCATTGTTCATATTATACAAGCAATGCCATTTGAACAAATACAACAGTGAAAAAAGGACAACCTAATGACACATGGTTAAAATGGATTTGCTTGATAGGAAGGAAACTTTTAAGGTTTTGTCGACAGCCGTGAGCAACTCAAGTCTCTCTCACTAGAGGCAGTTACAGACAGTCACAGGGAGCACCTGCCATTCTCTCCTTTTGTCTACAGTAGACATGACGTCTAATGTGTGCTCAGATAAGCTCGTAACAAAACTTGTCTGAATAAGAAGCTCTGCACACAATTGTTCTGTATGTCACTATGTGGCTCGTTACGGGTTATGCTAATGTATTCACTTGTTAAACACATCAGTGATGACCCTTCTTGCAGACGATCCAGAGAAATGGTTCGTAAACAAAACAAAACAAAACACCTACCTGCAACTGTGCTGCTGTTTAAAGCAATGGTTTCTAAACAGGACACATGTCCTAATTATATCCAAATCTCAAGATAAATGATCCGAGTTTCTTAGGCTTTTGACATATAGATCCTTTAGCATGATTTATATTTTTCCTGAGGGGATTTTATAAAAAAAGGCAATGTGCCAGCTAGGTTAAAAATATTCCTAGGTCAATACGCACAATACCACGTAAAGAGAGTGTATTTTTATGTGTGCACATGTGCCCTGGGTCACAATGCAAAATATATTTCTGTGTGGCAGCAGTCAAAACAGTTTGAAACATACCAATGTTTTCAATCCCTTACTTTGTAGGTATAGAAACAAATCCTATTAGGTGCAGGAGTTTGCCCAAGGCCTTCAGGTAGGTGTTAACATGTAGTAGCAGGCAATGAAAGCTTACATCAGAGCCCAGTTAAGAGCTCTTTCTTGGTAGTGCCGGCTGCTGAGGGTCAAACCCATATCCCTCCTCTTCTTTTCTGTGGTTCATTATTTCTAGGCAGTCCATGACTTCACTGCTCCTCTCACATAAATACAAACACGACAGTTTTCAGGTCATGCCTTTGGATTCTCAACTCAGTACATTCCGACTGCCTGTCAACTACATGTAGGCCCGGTGCCAGCGAAGGGACAGCAGGCAGAAGCCAAGGTCCTTACTGCTGATGATGTCCACGTAGCTGGGAGATCGAGAGGTGAAATACGAAGGGAATACCGTATGCAGCATAGTCAAAATAGAGTGACACATTAAAATGAAACAGAATTATTAGAAAGGATTAAAAGAGAATTGCACTTACATTGTCTTTCATGTTACAGACTATTTTTGCATAACATTTGTTGTTATCTCTGGAAGGAATCGTCCATTCCAACGGCCAAAAGTAACTATGGTAAACCTGTGAAGATATGGTGAGAGACGGTGGAGACTTTGTAATAACTAGACTTTCATTAGACAGCAAAATTCATGGAACAAGTAAGAATCTGGTCAAAAGATAAATGACTTTAAACTCTCTGCTGCCAGGCACTTTTGCTAGAAGCTCATTCCTTAATTATGTCTATCTCAACCTCAAAAGAGTTAACTTTAAGTAGTAGCAACAACAAAAGAGCAAGGAAATGAGAGAAAGGAGCCATGTAACGACTTGCTGTCATGTATTCTCTCTCTCTCACACACACACCCCCACCCACTCACCCACTATATACCTTATGAAAATGACAACTTGGGCAGAAACAAATAAGATGCCAGGAATAATTACAGCAATTATCTAGTTTTCTTGCTTAATGCTTCCAAAAGACATTTCCTCCTTTGGCATTACCCATCAAAAGCCTGAATGGAAGGATTATAAGAGAAGGGAGGAAGGAGGGCTGCAAGGAGACATCTTTTATGGTTGACTAAATGGATTTTCTTCTCCTTCAACTCAATTCAAAACATGATTGGCTGCCTTTTAAAAGCATTATGAAGATTATTAAGATACAATAAGTATTCTCTATGTTGTAGTACAATGTAAATTCTTAAATAAATATTGGTAACAAAATTGAATAGTATAGTATCATAGTATCACAATTGTATAGGAAAAAATTATTCAAGAAACTACCCCAAATTGCTGTGTTACAGATGAAAGTCTATGAGTAATTATTTCCTCTTTTCCTTACATTTTCCAAATTTCTTCAATTACTATTACAACAAAGGAAAGAAATTAGCCTGGGCATGGTGGTTCATGCCTATAATCACAAAACTTTGGAAGGCTGAGGCAGAAGAATTGCTTGAGCCCACGAGTTCAAGACCTAAGCAACATAATGAGACCTTATTTCTACATTAAAAAAATTTTAAGTTAGGTGGGTGTGGTGGCATGCACCTATAGCCCTAGCTACTCAGGAAGCCGAAGTGAGAAGACTGCTTTAGCCCAGGAGTTCAAGGTTACAGTGAGCCATGATCATGCCACTTTACTCCAGTCTGGGCAACAGAGTGAAAGCCCAACCCCCCACCAAAGTCAAAGATAGCCTATCAAGAAATATGAAATATATATTCAGAACCTTACAATGTGTTTATTCGTTCATTTGCTCACTTTTAGTTCTTTATTTTTGAGTTGGAGTCTCACTGTGTTGCCCAGGCTGGAATGCAATAGCATGATCACGGCTCATTGCAGCCTTAAACTCCTGGGCTTGGGTGATCCTTCCACCTTGGCCTCCAACAGTGCTGGGATTATATGCATATGCCATGGCACCCAGCAAGGAACCTTAAAATCTAAACACTTTTTGACAGGAACTCTATGCTCAAAAAATAATCAGAGAAACAATGAATTGTGAAGGTGTTCATTATTCTATTTATAATAATGAAAACTGTAAACAACCTAATGAAAGAAGAGCTTAACAAATTACTGTACAGCAGCTCTTAAAAGAATTAGTACACATTTAAAAAATGAAGTTCTTAGAGAATTGCAAGACAAGGGAAAATGCTCAAGACATAATACTAATGTAAAAATTGCAAAGAAAAACTTGCAGATAAGTTAATCACACTTTGAAAGAAAATTAAGACGTATGTACCCACACATAATCATATATATACACATACATACAATAGAAACACATAAAGATACTTAAGAGAAAAGGAGGCTGGAAAGAAATATGCAGAAATATTAACAGCAATGATCAGTTCATGAATTAAAATCTTTTTTATATTTTCCTAATTTTTCAAACCTTCTATAATAAAAATAAACTATTTTTATAATCAGAAGGAAATGCTAATAATATGTTACTAAAGAGACCAAGATAGTACATATGCTACTGCCCAGGCACATAATAAAGAAAATGATTACGAGATTTAAAATTGGCTTTTATATCATAAAATTGACTTTTTTCTTTTTTTTGAGTTGGAGTTTCACTCTGTAGCCCAGGCTGGAGTGCAGTGGCACACTCATGGCTACTGCAGCCTCCACTTGCTGGTCTCAGGCAATCCTTCCACCTCAGTCTTACAAGTAGCTGAGACTACAGGTGCATGCCACCACACCTGGCTAATTTGTTTGATTTATTGTAAGGCCGAGGTCTCGCCATGTCGCTCAGGTATTGAACTCTTCTCACCTGGGCCTCCCAAAGAGCTGGGAATACAGGTATGAGTCACCGCTCCTGGCCTATAAAACTGACTTTTATTCACCTATCTGGTCATTTAGAAGGTTTTATTGAAAACTTTTCTTTCCCAAATAATTCAAAATAGCAGTCCTTTGGGGTAGCATCATTTATACAAATGCATGTATTTTGCATGCGTTGTCCTTGATTACATGATAAAAGTTGAGCAGCAAAATTAGTATCAATTAGTGTAGTGCTAGAAACAAAGTAATAAGTATTATTAAGGGGCAGAACAGCAAAAATGTAATTTTTTTTAGTTTCCTTCACTTTCTTATTTTTTCAGATTTCCAACAATATCATTTTAACAATTTTTACTACAAATAAAGCTAATAATGTGGTTTTAAGAAGAAGAAAATATTACTGGGTCAACTGAAAAAAATTGGAAAATGGAAAGTAAATCAGATATAAATATTGTATCAGTATCAAAAAAAAGTGTATCAGTATCAAAAAAAAGTTTGCTCTTATATAACAAAATAACTTTGTTCATAGGGAACACACAATGAAGTGTTTAAAGAGTTAAAGCAGCACTTAACTAGTTCTCAAATGTTTCAGGAACACAGACACACACACACACACACAGATACATATAGAAAAAGAGAGAGAATATAAGAGAAGATCTCCTGCAAAAGACAGAATTATCTTTTTTGGAGGGTGAGCCCCTTGTAGTAAACTCGGAATGTGTTCCTCCAGATCAAACGGTCAATCGAAGTTTTTACCTGGAAGTTATGAGAAAGTTGCGCCATGATTTGCTGAAGAAATGTTCTGAGTTGGGGCAGACAGGTTCTTCCACCATGGGAACACACCTGCCTCATACTGCACTGAGTGTCCAGCAGTTTGGACCAAATACAGCATGACCCCCCCCCATTCACCTGATCTTGCCCCAAGTGACTTTTTTTTGTTTCCCCAGATGAAAAAAGTCCTCAAAGGGAAACGGCTTGCTGATGGCTTGCTGATGTGGAAGAGGGGAAACAAAAAAACGGCAGAGCACTAAAAGGCATCAAAACGGATGAGCTCAAAAACTGATTTGAGCAGTGGAAAAAGTGTCTCAAGAGGTGTATTGCATCACATGAAGAGTACTTTGAAGGTGACTGAAGTTTAAACATGTGAGGATAAATACACACATTTTTATAAATTAACTTCAGGTTTTTGTGGGTCTCTCTCATTTAAAAAAGTGAATCAGACAAATGGGCAAAATGTTAATCATGCATGAATGTGGACAATGTATATACAGAAGTTCTTTGTACTATTTTTCAACTTTTCTGTATCTGAAATTACGATTTTGAAGGGAAAAAAAGTCACTTAGTATAGGCAAAAAAATGAAAAGGAAAACATACCTCAATATTTTCTTCTCCAAATTTTTCCATAGCTTTCTCTTCAGAAAGGCCACAAGCACCATATTCCAAAGGAGTAAATACAGTTGTTGGAACATTTTCATAGTCACACTGTTTAAAAATGGAGGTAAAGAATTTTAATAGGCAAAGTTACAACTTGGAAAAAGAGGTACACTTCAAAAAGGGTTCAAAATTGAGAGAGGAAAGCAGACTAATAAATTTCTGCCAAAAGCATGTGAAGTCCCAGCCCCAGATACTAATTAATCTACCAGATTGAGAACCATTAACTTATGTGAAAAGCTGTAGTAGGAGTCTGGCAAGACTCATAATGAGCAAGAGTCATGCAGCTTCTCCATTCACCTAAGCAACTGATGTTACCAGCAATGCCGCACTTTTTCTCCCCTTAATAAAGCAGCAAACAACAATACTGGTGTACTCTATGCTGACAATCTCATGTTATCAGTGATAAAAATTAATAGACTCTTTAGAACATCAATTAGATAATATAAACTAAGAGGTATAAAAGCATTTTTTACTTTTGGCCCAATAATTCCACCTTTAGAAAGTTACTAAAGTAAGATTATACTTTAGTATAATCTTATACTTATAGTAAGATTATAGATAATATATTATTATAATGTAACATACACATAACAATATATCACTATGTTTATAACATATCACACTAATATAATAATAACTTAGTAGAAAAGGCTACATGTATTAACTGAGCATTGCTGCAGTACTCAACAGTGGCAATACTGAAGTGGCTTGAAAATCCTACAACCGGGCAGTGGTTCCACAGGACATATTCTCAATGTAATACTACACAGCCATTAAAATGGTGAAGATCAGAGGGAAAAAAGGTTAGCACTTATGACAGTATTGTTCAAAGCATATTATATGATGCTAGTAGATATAAATAATAAGGGTTCTGTACTCAAATGAATTTGTAAAAAGTTAAGCAAATAAACAGGTTTCTCTAGAGCCTTTAATATGCTGCATGAATTGTGAAAGAAATACATTCTGTAAATGCCAAGTGTGTTTGTAAATATCATTTGGTAAAAACTTGCACATAAAGGTGAACCTAAGTGACATTCTGCATTTAAAATACGAGAACTGCAATTCTCATTCTCTAAAACAGGGAAGTGAAATCTTTCAAACGTGCCCTCCACTAGAACAATAAATATAATCTTTTTCTCTAAAAAACGTGAAAATAAACCCTTGAAATTCTCTAATTCTCAAGGAAAGGCAGACATTCACTTGCAGCCATAATGGCATATCAGAGATCAGATTTAGTTTCCTGCTTTAAATAACCAGCAAGCCAGTAGGCAGTGCAAGCCTGTAGTCCCCGTGGGACGAGAAGAGACAAGGTGAGCCCTAGAAGTGCTCCAGCTTACTGCCCACAGGCAGCTTCTAGGCCTCCACACTGGAGAGGGAGCACAAACACAGCCCAGAGGGTCTTCCTTAGTTATGGAGACAGAGATCACAGTTCAAGGAAGCCAAGGTGCCTTGAAGCTGCAGGAAAAGAAAACCAAAGAGGATGGAGCCCCACAAAGAGTTCCTGAGATTTGCAGAGGACCTCTTAAGATGACGGCTGAGACGTGGAAGGAAATGTTCAAAAGAGAGGAAAAGAGCCAACAATTTTTTTAAAAAAAGAAATTTTGTGTTCTTACATGTTTATACTTTGGTTATTGTTGGTATATAAAAATAGTTCTTGCCATTTTAGGAAACTACAATGATATAAATTCAAGAACAAATTAAGTGCATCTCAATCCCAAGCTAAATTTCTTTCTTTTTGTTTTTTTTTTTTTGAGTTGGAGTCTCACTCTGTCACTCAGGCTGGAGTGCAGTGGCAAGCTCACGGCCACCGCAGCCTCGACCTGCGGGGCTCAGATGATCCTTCTGTCTCAACCTTCCAAGTAGCTGGAACTGCCGGCACACAACACCATGCCCGGCTACTTTTTTTTTTTAATTATAGAGATGAGATCTCGCCAAGTTGCCCAGGCTGGTTTCAAACCCGTGGGCACAGGCAATCCTCTCACCTCGGCCTCCCAAAGTGCTGGGATTATAGGCATGAGCCACCACACAAGCTCCAGCTATATTTCTAAATGCCCTTCCTTTGCTTGCCAGATACTCAACTGCAACAAGGAACACAATATGTAATTTGAAGAAACAGTCTTGTTAAATTTATTCCAAATAGTAATATGAACCAACTGCTATTCCCTGGATGATCAGTCATTATGGTATTCAAAATCTTTTGACCTTCAATCTGTTAATTTCAAAGAGAGATTGTGCTATAATCCAAAATAACCCCAGGCAAAAAATAAATTTCACTAGCATCATTCTGTGAGGTTTCCATTATTGTAACCAACTGAAATCAGCCCGTGATGATTTATACTCAAGGAAAACGGGTAGTGCAAAAATTCTTTACAATTAATGTCTCCAAAATCCTTTGTTAAAAAGTAGGTTATATTTATTCTTTTCTGGCCTTCTGGTTCCATGATACAGAGTCTCACAAGTTTCAATTTCTACACTGACTTTAAACATTTTTTTAACGTATTAATGTAATATTTAACATTCATCATCCTAAGGTGGAAAGCAATTTTTATAGAAACCCTAAAAAGTGGTTTGAGCTACTCTGCACACTGACATTACCTAAATCCTCAAATCCTTTTACAGCCTAGACAGGGCCATAAAAAGATTTAGAACATTATACTCATATTGGTAACAATGAAATTGATGTAAAATGCAACTGTTATAAGTATGTGGAACATAGCGGTGCTGAAGTAACAATGAAATTGATGTAAAATGCAACTATTATAAGCATGTGGAACATAGCAGTGCTGAAACTTGATTAATCAAGTTCTTTTTATTCACAGTGACAACTTTCAAAACAAAAGTCACAAATGTATGGTAGCCTCCATAATGTCTTGTTTAGAAAGCAAACCTAGAATGCCATCACCAACTAGATTATTCAAGCCCTAGAAAACTTCCCAACTACGCCCTGAGAAGGGAGCTGGGAGTATCACCAGCAGCAGTATTTAGAGGGTGACAGTCGTGTTACTTACCTTGATGGTGGATCCTGCATAAAGCCTCTGGGCCAGCAGTCTTCCTGCCTGGATTGCTACTGGGGTGAGCTCCAGCTTACCCTCCAGGATATCACCAATGGCATAAATGTAAGGCACGTTGGTCTGTTCTTCATCTGTGACAGGTATTTTCCCAGTCCTACAAAGTTACTCAGTTAAGAATCATCATCAATTACTATTAATTACTTAGAACAAAATCCCCCTTTTCCTAAAAAGCCCAAATCTGTGATTCTAGCTGAGGGCAATTTCTAATGCATTAAAAATAAGAATAAAATAGCTGGGCGCTGTGGCTCACGCCTGTAATCCCAGCACTTTGGGAAGCGGAGGTGAGAGGATTGCCTGAGTCCAGGGGTTTGAGGCCAGCCTGGGCAACTTGGCAAGATCTCATCTCTACAATAAATCAAAAAATTATCTGGGTGTGGCAACGTGAGCCTGTGGTTCCAACTACTTGGAAGGCTGAAGTGGAAGGATCGCCTGAGCCCAGCAGGACGAGGCTGCAGTAGCCATGAGCATACCACTGTACTTCAGTCTGGGCAACAAAGTGAGACTCCGACTCTAAATAAATAAATAGGCTGGATGTGGTGGCTCATGCCTATAATCCCAGCACTTTGGGAAGCCGAAGTGAGAGGATTGCCTGAGCCCACAGGTTCGAGACCAGCCTGGACAACGTGGTGAGACCGCATATCTACAACAATCAAGAAAAATGAGCTGAACGTGGTGGCGCATGCCTGTAGTTCCAGCCACTTGGAAGGCTGAGGCAGCCATGAGCGTGCCACTGTACTCCAGCTGGATGGCAGAGTGAGACTCCAACTCAAAAATAAAAATAAATCATAAATAAATAAATTAATGAAACAGTTCAGAGGACTGTTTATAGTGACAATTCTGGCCACTATGTTGAAAATCAAAGAAATAAGAAAACTATAAGAAATCTTAGAATGAAAGAACTACAAAACAGAAGCTCAGAGGAAGGATTCTAAATTATACTAATCAAAAAAAAAGAAAAAGAAAACAAACAGGAAATATTAATGTGAATGGCACTGGAAGGAGAAAAGGTTTTCTAAGCCTAAAGAAGGTATTCTTCATCTATGGTAAAAATTAACTTAAAAAAACCTAAAACTTAGAACTGATCAGTGCTGTAAATAGATGCAACAGTACTCAACATGACATAATGAGGATGTCTTTCTTACTTTTCATTTATCTTCACCCCGACAGTTTCTAAGCCAATTTTTCTTGTGCAAGCATCTCTTCCTATTGCCAGCAACACCTGAAAATTTTTCGTATATTAGTGACTAGTCACAAAAAGGCTTTGCATGAATTACTTCATCCTATTTTTTCTGTTTGTTTATTTACTTATATATTTACTTATTTACTTATTTATTTAGAGTTGGAGTCTCAATCCATCGCCCAGGCTGGACATAAGTTGAGCTGGGATTACAGTTGAGCCACTGAGCCTGGCCTTTTGTGTTTATTAAGCTAATTTAATTTCATTTTCCAGAACTGGAAATAAACATTTCATTTAGAAAATAACACAAGAGTGATTGGGCTTGGTGGCTCAGCCCGTAATCCCAGCACGTTGGGAGGCCAGGGCGAGTGGACTGCCTGAGTGTATGGATTCGAGACCAGCCCAGGCAACTCGGCAAGACCACATCTCTACAATAAAAAAAAAATCACAAAAATTAGCCAGGCATAGTAGCACACGCCTGTAGTACCGGCTACTTGGAAGACTGAGGCGGAAGGACTACCGGAGCCCAGCAGGTTGACACTGGGTGACGGAGTGAGACTACAACTCAAAAAAAAAAAAAAAAAGAAAATAACACAAGAGTTTAAACAAATAAAAATCTTTATAAAAAATCCTTTAAACAGGTTAGAGCAGAAATCCTTTTTCACTTCTTTTTAAGAGAAAGTAAGTTAATAATTCCTTAACAAACCTATCCAAGTTTACAGGCAAAGACAGCACAGCCTATGACTGAATTTGGTTATTTTTTAAGTAGCAGGCTGGGAAGATAAAACAGAAGAACACGGGACAGAAATTCTGGCACATCTAAAAATTGTGGCGTCTTCATATAGCCACTCGATAAACAACATTTAAAGTTACAGTGGAGAAAATCTGAAGCCATCTCTGTACTAAAACAAACGACAATATCACAAGTGACTACGATGCCTTAGATTGGCACATAGCCATGGCACATTTTGGAAACAGCCCACAGCCAGTACCCAGCAGATACCCAGTGAGCACATTATTTGCTTTCTGGTAAACACTGATCCCGGTCAATTCCTTACCGTATTGTATTCTCCTTCGATAGTTTCCTCACTATGGGTGGACTGAGCCACCACTCGGAGACGGCCTGGTGTTCCCGCTTCAATTTGTTCAACCTATAAAAGTGGTAATGTTTTACTCTGAAATAAATAAATTTATCAGGGAGGAAAACTGTACCTTCCCCTTCTCTCTGGTTAACCCAAAGTTAAACATAAAATCCTGCTTGAAAGGTCTTTTATGCTCCCTCACTTTAACCATCAGGATGGTGATTCTTTAATAATTTATCCCCTTCTTTTTCACTGCTTCCCATTGTTTGCTAGAGAGGCTTTCTTTCAAATAGTTCTCACTCAGGATAAAATTCAGGGAGAAAAGTGGGGAAGAAGAAAGCCAGGGAAGCACACTAAAATCTCTAGAATTAGTCAATGACCTGCTGCTTCCCCAGGTTCCCATCCTGTAAATCAGCCAGACCATGAATCCCAGGGAGAGTCCCTGTTGCCCAAATTCAGAGATTCTCTTTTCACTTACAGACGTTCAGCTTTCATTAACAAAGGACAGTTATTGGGTAGGTCAATAATGAAATACCTAACAGCCAGAAAGTCCTAAAAGTCACAGTGAGCGAGGAGACGTGTGTGTTTTTCATAAGCAGAGGTGGTCTCTCGTTGTTGAACTGCAGAGAGGAACGAGCCAGCCCTGATACTTGCACAAGTGACAACGAACATACCACCCTACTATATACAGATGCTAACTGTCACTTACAGACTGAGTTATAACCTGAAAACCCTATCTACTAAAAGCATTGTTAAGAATGCAGTTAACCTTGGTCTCTGAATAACAGCCAAATCATGAGTTTATGTAAAATATTTCTTGAGAGAAATCAGTCAGGTCACTTATGATTTCTATTCTACCTTTAAAATACAATCACTCTGCCAAGCACAGAGGTTCACAATGTAACTCCAGCACTTTGGGTTGTGGTGGTAAGAGGACTGCCTGAGCCCAGGGGTTTGAGACAAGACCGGACAACTTGGCAAGACCTTGTCTCTACAATAAATAAAGAAAATTAGCTGGGATGGTGGTATGTGCCTGTGGTTTCAGCTCCTTGGAAGGCTGAAGAAGAAGGAACACCTGAGTCCAGCAGGTTCAGGCTGCAGTGGCCATGGGCATATCACTGCACTCCAGCCTGGGTGACAGAGTAAAATGCCAACTCAAAAAAAACATGTCTATATCTATATCTATATTATAGATATAGATATAAATAAAATCACTGTTTCAGAAAACTGTCAAGGGTCATTTTAATTTTGACATCAATAAATAGCAACAATTTCCTTATTTAATTTCCTTCTTATATAGCTAAACTTCTCTGAACAGGCTGGAAGTCTTTCCTATTTAATTTAAATCAGAATGTTCTAATCTTTGGAGAAGAGGTGAATTGGTCTATAGTTTAAGTTTGTTTCAACTTGGATCCAGTCTACTTGTTTAGTTAATCCCTATCTGCACCCTACATCTCTATAATAAAATAAAATTGAATTTAAAAAACAAGGTTTGTTTCAAAGTGGTAGGTGTAAAGGGCCTCTTCCACCTCCATCCTTATTCACTTTTGTGCTCCTGTCAGGTATTTTCTGTATCTAGAGCAATATGGTTCCCCAGAGCCTTTTTGACATACTATCTTCTCTGACCAAAATGCACTCGTTTGCCACAGAAGACTGTTCTACTTAGTTACTTTGTAATACAGCAGGAGTTTATTAATACCTAGTGAAGGGAATTAGATACCCTGGTAACCCTATTTTGATAGGCATAATCCCCAGTTTTCAAAAGGGTCCCCAACTCCCAAAATGTTATGGTATTATACAAGAAGATGTTACTTTTTTAGCCATTACAGCATATATACCCAGCTGTTCTCTAATCATAGTCCTAATACAAGTATAGCACATATACCTCTACTCCACCCCCTGAAACAGCTACAGTCATCTAGCACTGATAACTCTCAAGAAATTTGTGACTTAATCTTTACAACAGTATTATGAGACAGATTCACTTTAGACTTAATCTCTGCCAGGTACTTTTCTAATTACATACTTTATAAGTATTGGCTAATGCAATCCTCTTAAGAGCATTTAGATGCTATTATCAATCTCATTTTACAGAAGAAACCAAGGTTGAGAAAAGCAACTCTCCCAAAAGTCATAGAGCAATAAAACTGGTAGAACAGTATCTGAATCCAGATCATTCAGATTCCAAAGCTCGTACTTCTATCTACCAATGTTAAGAGATTCACAGTCATGCAAAGAATTCAAGTGAACCCAATGAGATTTTTTTTAAAGTCAGTTACAATTTTTGAACTTTAACAAAAGTCTAATCCTTACTTGCACTAAAGAAAATTATCTATTAGTATGAGATATAAGTGATTGATTTTGTCACTCATGTATCAAAATATTATGATAATGTTAACAAGCCTCAGGTATGACTTGGCATATTTACACCTTTTCAAAAAAAGATAAAAAGAGCAAAAAAGGCTAGCCCACACAACAAAATGAGATAACGTTTTCAGTGATGCCAGAACTATGTAGCATATATGTTGATTATACTATACGCCAAGGGGAAATCTTATGAAGGGGGGAAAATCAGCCTAGTCTTGAACTCTCACTTAAATCTTTGGTGCACATGAAGAAACAAAGTATTAACAGACCAAAGAAAACAGAAAAAAAGAAATGCATAAAGGGAAGCATTAAACAGAAAGAATCAAAGGTAAGAAAGTTGACTAAATAAGAGATTATTAATCTATAAATAAAAATAAAGCTCCTTGGGTGTTTAGGTGGTAGGCAGGTACAAATGTACACACCAGTGTATAACAGCTGAGGCATCAGAGCACTCCTGATGGTTGAAGACCCCGAAAGGATACTTCCACCACCAACTAAACTCTCCTCTCACCTTTTAGCATAAGTATAGAATCAGCAAAGCTATAGGCAACCCACTTACTTTAATTGGTACAAATTGTTTTATAAACTTGATTCCATGTTCTTCCATGTGTTCACCAATTTTGTTGGCCATATCCTGGTCAAATCCTCTGAGAAGAATGGACCGTACCATAACAGTGACGTCTAAACCAATACCAGCAAGAAATCCAGCACATTCCAAAGCAACATAGGATGCTCCAACCACCAGGGTCTTACCCGGGCAGTAAGGTAAGGAGAAAAGATCATCACTGAAAATAAATTTGACAAAAGAAAAAATGTTTATATATGAATGATGACTAAGTCAAAGTAATATTTTTACTTTCATAAGAATGAGATACTTTTATGATTATAAACATTCAATTAGTTACACATATGATACATGAGAAGTTTTCATAAGGTCTTAGACACTCCTCCCTTTCCTGTCACTCAGTTGCTTTGGGAGTAACTCAAGCTACCCATGGCTAACATAACAAACTTCTCATATTAGTCTGACTCACAGTCACAAAAAATGATATTAAACTGTTTGGAACAAATTATGCATCTGCAAATCCAAACCCCCACCCTCATCCCACCACTTAGTTCTCTCCGAGGTGGGAAAACCTGTGTTACTTCTCAACTAAAACATCTAGTTAAAAGTAGGGAGAATGGTGAGAAAAAACTTTCAATATCTTGTGATATAAAAACCAACTGTAGAGAGTAAAACGTGACAAAAATCTTTTAGTTGAGTTAGGAATATACAAGACATAGAGAGATCATAAAAGCACTATTAGAGAATTTACAATATGAGGAGGGCTGGTATTGTAGGATGAAAAGAGGCCATTTTGGTTATATTAGAAAAGCCACTTAGAAAAGACTTAAAAACTTGTATTCTTTTGTAGCTGAGTTGGGCTGAAAGTAAAAGCCACCGCCTGGATTCAAAAGTGGACATTTTCCTATTTGCCCCCCCACCCGCACCCCTCCTAGCATGGCCTTGCCCAACTGGCCTATCTTATCTAGTAGCTATTGCTGGTGCTGAAGAAGAAACAGCTGGCAAGCCAGACCACCTAATGATCAGGAGAGTGGACCAAGGCTGATGGGAGTATGTCTGAAAGCCTAGAGTGGGCATGGCCAACCTCTCTTCCATCTGTGAATACAAGGACATCAGACTGTTACAGGCCAGGGCTCTGGGAATAAAAGATTGTTACAATTATAATTTAAAGCTATCATCTTAAATGTTATGGCTTTTTCTTCTTTCCAAATACTGCAATTGTCTGCTGTCTGCTGCTTCTAAAAAAAAACTGTAAAAGAACATATTATAAATTCCAAAATGTTATCTAAAATGTCAGTATGACCGGGAGACTTTGGGCCACATCCATGGTCAGATATCAAAAACTGTTAACATAAATCTCGATTCATGCTAAAACTGCATGTAGGCTTCAAACTCAGCGTGGGTAAAGGACTATGAATTTGCAGTATAAATACTAGAATGAATTTGTGTTGCTTTTAGCGGGTTTCTTGGCAATGATGCCAACGTTTCTCCCCATAACCTGGTTATAAAAATTAGACACTCCCTTTTCTCCCAGCCTCTGCCTTTCGTATTTTAACTGGCCGTGAGTGACAGCAGCTGATTTATTGAACTGGGCTGTAACACTGGGGAGCAGTGGCTCATGCCTGTAAACCCAGCACTTTGAGAGGCTGAGGCAGGAGGACTGCTTGAGCTCAAGTACGAGGCCAGCCTAGGCAACACAGTGAGAGCAGGCTCTACAAAAAATAAAAACAAATTAGTTGGGCATGGTGGCACATGCCTATAGCCCCAGCTACTCGGGAGGCTGAGCCTAGGAGGTGAAGGCTGTGGTGAGCCATGATCGTGCCACTGCACTTCAGCCAGGGTGATACAGTGAGACCCTGTCTCAAAAAAAAAAAAAAAAAAAAGAGCCTGGTGTGGTCTGAATGTTTATGTCCCCCCAAATTCGTATGTTGAAATTCTAAACCCCCAAGACGATGACATGAAGAGGTGGGACCCTTGGGAGGTGACTAGGTCATGAGGGCAGAGTTCTCATGAATGGGGTTTGTGTCTTTATAAAAGAGGCCCCAGAGATCTGCCTTGACCTTCCACCATGTGAGGACATGGAGATGACTCTGTCCATGAACCCGAAGGGGCGCCCCTCGTCGGACGCCAAGTCGGCCAGTTCCTGCATCTTGGACTTCCCAGCCTCCAGAACCATGAGAGAGACGTTTTTACGACTTGCAAGCGGTGCAGTTTATCGTAGTTTTGTTAGAGCAGCTTGAATGGACTAAGAAAGAGCCCATCCAAGAAGAGAGCAATGGCAGTGACAACAGCTGCCATCAGAGCTGCCCCTGGATGAGGCACAAGGGATAAAATCATATTACCAAAAAAAGGAGCCTTGAGGAGTCCAGTAATTTATAACATAGTCAGAAACTCCAGGGCCAAAAAGCATCTAAGAGGACATATTTACCAACAATGTGTCTTAATGAACTCATACCTTAAACTCCTAAAAAATGTCAGCAGTGTCACCACTTGCTAGGCAAAAATAAGTGAAAGTACCAAAACTGCCATGCTTGACTCACTTATTTCAGAAGGTCCCTCTACAGTGATGCTGCAAACACTCAGACAGCAATGAGAGGGGACTACAGTCTGTTAAGTCTAAATGGCCTGCCACCCTCTAATTCATTTAGTGTCCACTCTGCAAATGTTAAAAAGGTAACGGGTCATCCTAGTTTTGCAAAGACTCAATGCACATTCACATGTATCGTACTTCTTTTACAAAATGTTTGTGAATATCCATCTGGCTTTATTATATACTTGTATACTCACATGTGCTTAAGTAAATTTCAAATACAAACATAAACATAAGTAAATACCTATATGCAAGTATGTCAGTGATATTAACTCTGTAAGGTGACCAGTGCTTGTCGTTTTCAATGTTTTAAATGTTCTTGTCTAAAATAAATTTTCCTTTTTCTATTTATACCAAACTCTGTCTCCAGAGAGGGCAAAACAAGGCAAAGAACGCTGGTCTGATGCTCAAGAAACTGACTAAGTGAGTTTGAGAAAAAAGACAAAAGTAAAACCCACGATGGGTATGCCGTTTCCTCCCTGCTTTTCTTCCTTACCTGCTGATGCAGTATTCTTTGTCACCAGGGATGCCCAAATAACGCGGTCTTTCACCAGTGGCAATAAGAAACCTCTCAGCAGAATAAATATTTTCTTTGCCTCTGTTATTTGTTGCCTACAAAGAAACCAATATGAAAACTTTAATAATTATCATTATTCATTAGATTTATTTAGAATTGCAAACTTTATAGTAACAAAGGCTGTTTACCACATTGTCTGAAATAACTTGTAAGGCCGAGTAGCTAAAAGACTTGCTCAAGGTCAAAATGAATAAGCGGCAGAGCCAAGTTTCAAACCCAGGTAATCTGGTCCAGGACCCTTGCATGTTCCCATACCCACACAGAAGCCCCGGAAGAAGGTGGGACAACAGGACCAAGCTAGATGGTCTGGGTCACCGTGGTTATCACTTTTATGATAGTACTTTTTATACCTAAATACTTTCCAACCAAAGTTTTACAAAAAAGCTACTCTGGATATCACACATTTACCTTAATCCTATGAGGACCAATGAACTGGCCATAAGCATTCTCATAGACAACCTTTTTCTCCCGCAGAGCCACTCGATAGCCCCAGTTCAGAGAGCCAATGTGACTCTGTACAGCTTCTGTCATTTTCTCCCAATCATGTTTAACTGCATAAGAAAATAAGACAAAATGTTTAGCTTGTTTAACTTTTCAACTCCTGACAAAGATCATTTCTCAGCAACCATTCACATGAAATACAAAGAACAGAGTTTGAGCACAAATGAGACCTTCTCATCTTCAAGTATTCTTTCCCTTTTAGAAGACTACCTACGATTAAATATGTAAGGATTCTTGACAATTCTCAAGACTAAACCAAATGCAAACATTTTTCTTTTTCTAGAAAGGAACTTGAATTTTACTTTGGATTGTAAATAATGATTGCTAGGGTATATTAAGGCTTAGGATTCTGTGTTTGCAGCAAAATTCAAGAGATTCTGCCACAGCCAGGTTTGGAGTGTTTATGCCAGGGACTGGCAAACTATGGCATCATGAGTCAAGTCCACCACCATTTTGTAAATGAAGTTTTGTTGAAATATAGCCGCATTCATTTATTTCCGTATTTTCTTCTTTTTTTTTTTTTGAGTTGGAGTCTCACTCTGTCGCCTAGACTGGAGTGCAGTG